AATCATATGAGAAAGAAGATGGAAATCTAATATCTCTGAGCACCTCATATTCCAAGGGGCATGAGAGTTTTATATCAATTGGTCCAACCTATGGTAAATCAGGAGAGAATTTCATTACTGTTGCTCCTTATGACAAGGGTACCGATCATTTAATATCAATGGGTTCAACATATGATAAGGTGGATTCAAATATTGCATCAACAGTTCCATCATATGACAGAGGAGATTCCAGTTCTTTACCTGTGGGTCAAAATCACCATAACAAGGGTCAGAGCAGTACCATATCTTTTGGTGGTTTTCATGATGATCCTGAAGCAAATCCCTCTGGTGGAATAATTAGTGGCTATGATCTGTTGATAGGAAACCAAAACTCAGCTCAAGGTTTGGATGGTCAGAATGATCTGACTGAAACAAACACTGAATCACTTGTAAATAGCATTCCAAAACTTAATACTAAAAATGATATTTTTGTTAAGAACAAAGAGCCTAAGACAACAACCAAGAAGGCTCCTACGAACAACTTCCCTTCAAATGTCAAAAGTTTGCTGTCAACCGGTATTTTTGATGGTGTCCAGGTGAAATATGTTTCATGGTCACGGGAGGTAAAGTCTGTTTTAATTTTTTCTAACTTTATTTCTGAGTTTTTGTACGTTATATTTTGTCTTAACAGTTTGAAGAATATGCTTGGCAGAAAAGTCTTAAAGGAATCATAAAAGGAACTGGGTATTTGTGTTCATGTGATGACTGCAAGCAGTCAAAGGTTGGCATTTGAAATACTTACATTCTGATAATCTGCATAACCGAAGTGATTGTACTCATGTTAAATTTTATCATGAAGGCTCTTAATGCATATGAGTTTGAGCGTCATGCTGGTGCCAAGACAAAACACCCCAATAATCACATATACTTCGAGAATGGAAAAACCATCTATGCTGTTGTTCAAGAACTGAAAAATACTCCTCAGGAGATGCTTTTTGATGCAATTCAAAATGTGACTGGCTCTACCATCAACCAAAAGAACTTTCGAGGATGGAAAGGTAACAAAACAAGAGTTTTCTTCAGTTTGCTTAGTTATTGTTAATAACACCTGGATGATGATGATTTTGCTTCAATTATCCGTATGTTTAGACATAAATACAACACAAATTCCTCAATCTATCTACTTCTAATCTGTTTCCCTCCTTATCAGCATCATACCAAGCTGCTACTCGGGAGCTTCAACGTATTTACGGAAAGGATGAAGTGATAATTCCATCATGAGTTCAGTTTTCTTCTGGAAAGCTCAGAACAGTGGTAGATATGTAATCTGTTTATAGTGAGTGATTGGCAGCTTGATAGTTTAGAAGACTGTTTAAAATTGGGAAGTTTTAGCCGATGCTTCTTGTAGGAACTTGATTGTTTTTGTTTATGGTAATGAAGATGTCTTTTCGTGGTTCGGTGTCATTCTTTCCATCACAATCTGCTGATGTGTTGTCACCTTTGTTCAATTGCTTGCAAGCCATGTTCCTTAGAGAATCTTTTAAGAGATTTCATCCAGTAGGGTTGTCATGTCAATTTTGCGGGTGGTAACCCATCCCATCCATACTATGTATGAAGTTGAATAGAGGTTATTACATGGGAGAGAGGAAATGGTATATTCATGTTACGTGTGGAAATTTGACATCAGTTGTTGTCTGTCTGGCGTTGTGAGCTTTAACTATGTATTGCTTTATAATTTTTTGCTTTAGGTATATGCATCTAACGTCTTTCCTGTAAAATGCTAAGTGCTAATATTTCCCAGAAGTTTGAACAAAAATAAACCATCATTTTAGTTCACGAAAATGTAAAACGTTGATACATTAGCTTCTAAAAAACTAAGAAAGCTTTATTTAAATATGTATTGAGTGCGATTCATCGACTTATTAGTCTAAAATTAAAAACAAGTGATTTAAGTAACAAAATTAATGTTTATACACTTTCGAGCATACAATCATGGTCTCCAACCTCGTTTTGGACTGCCAGTGATTTACACCTTATTACTTGATGCCGCATCAAAGTAATATTTATTTTGATAATTGTTAAATCCTTATACTGTAAGTTTTAAAATAAAGTTCACGAGCCAGCGTCGTCGACTACCCCTGCCTCTGTAGGTAAACATTATGAACTGCGGCTCAAACCTTATGCCATGACAATATCAACATTCATTCCCAAAAATTGGCTGAATTTTATTCCCAAAAATTGGCTGAATTTTTTTCTATCTTCTATATTGTTTATATTGCAGGTCATTCCAAAAAATTAACGAGGTCATATTCAAATGGTATATTTGTTTCTCGATACGTGTTGAATAAGCTTTATTTATTGTCTATAAAAAACAAGATAAGATTTATATATTATCATGTAGAAGACATCATGTTCTAGTAAATTGTTGCATATCCCCAATGATTGAATTGGTAACCAACGTTATTCAACTTTATAGCTAAATAAAATAAACAACAGTTTGATCAAGAGTAGATTTTGAATCTGAGGTGTAAAGAGAACAATTGTGAGGGAAAACTTATTTGAAGAACTGTTGATCATGATCCCGAGACTATAATGCCAAGGCATGCCTCTGGAAAATGAAATTACATTGTCAAAAAATTATTGAAGATCCATTTTCAAATTACAGTATAACAAAATGTATAAATATGAAAGCCTCAGTACAAGCAGCAAGGAAACCACCTTTGCGTACCTCTTCGCAATAAAATAAAAATGTTTGAGCATGCAAATATTGAAATTTAGCTTAGCTGACATTTCGTGAGGAACCAAAAAACCAAAGGTCAAAACTCAAGCATATGTATGAAGTCACCTTCCTTCCACCCTTATGCGGATAAAGTAAATCAATGCATTATTATCACTTGAAAAATGGATGCATTTTTCAGTAAGGGAAATCAATTGGTTCCTGTTGAAGGGCTTTCTCAGCAATCTCAGTCTGCTCCTTCTGGTGAACCTTGAGGAAACTGTGGCTGTGGCTGCAGATGGAGCACGACCAATATATTTCACATCGTCATAACCTCCTCTATTCACAGCTTTCATTGAAGATACAAGTCGGGGCAAAACGTAAGTGTATCCACCCATGTTCATTGGCTCTTCTTGACACCAAACAACTTCCGCATCTATATAAGAATCAAAACAGAATATATGATTTATTCACAGAACAACATGACTCTAACAAAATTAAATCTAAAAGGGTGGACAAACAGATATATCCCCCTATTTCAAAATAGTTAGGCCTCTACTTAACAGAAAAATCTAAAATTATCTATCTCTGGATGAACTATTTAGTGAAAGACTCATCAATAGAATTATGGAAATTTATACAGTTCCTACAAAAGAAGCACAAGCAACCAAAGACAATATAAATTATACCCCATTCAGGACTTAAATATGAGAAATAAAAAGAGCCATAATTTGAAGAAAATTTTTCTACTTCTACAAATACATACTTGGATATCGTTTAAGCTCTCGTTGGACAAGGTCGTAAGGGAAAGGACAAAGCTGTTCCACCCTACATATTGCAACATCCTTTGCTTCAACCTTAGTTCGGTGATCATCAAGTTCATAGTAAACCTGCAAGAGATAGTTGAACTCTGTAATTTCAAAAGGCATGTAATTGAAGTACGACTTAAATATGGTTTTAATAAACTCCACCAGATTAAAGACCTTAGAAACCATTTAAATTGATAATAAAAACTGGTTTCGGGCAACTAACACATACCTTTCCAGAGCAAAGAACTAATCTCCTAATACCCTCCTCAACATCTGAGTGATAGTTTTGGTCTTTTATGAGACGCTTAAATCTTGTTCCCTGTTTGTCAAAACCTGGGTGGCCTTGGACGTCATCAAACTCAGATAAATTTGATCTACAAACCTTACTACGAAGCAGGTTCTTAGGGGACATTACAATGAGAGGTTTACGGAATTCTCTATGTACCTGCAAAAACAAAAAGCAGCAGATTATGAGGAAATAAGGATCATAAATTTATGTGAACAAGGGACCACTTAAATCAAATCATTGTTATTAAATAAGGGAACAAAGCTCTCCTTATCATGAAAAATCAAGAGCTCTCTCAACACAGGAAACAGATCAGATGGCTAAGAGCATGAAGGTCAAGGTCAACAATCACCTCCCTCCCAGCTTCCTACAGTGGTGTGGTTGGAGGGACCATTGGAAGATACCAAAGGGCGCTCAAGAAAGACTTATTCGTATATGGTTTTAGGTGATGAAAAAGATTATGATGACTGTAGGGAAGTTCAAAAGAATAGGAGACAGATGAGGAGCAGGCTGAGCAGTCATGGTTAAAGAGTACTCAGTACATGCCTAAACTAACAATAAGTTAGGTGTGATTCATTCACTCATACGAAACCATATTATTGAGTTTGACAATGATTTGGATATTTACTGGTTTGGCAATAGATCTTGGGCGTCTAATATGAATATCTGTTACCAAAAAAACTAAATTTATTTTACCAACCTGCCTCCTTAGAACATGGAAAAAATTAGCAGGAGTTGTGACATTCACAATCTGCAAATTACACTCTTGAATCGGTTTCCGAAGAATTGGATCCATCTCAGGGATAACATGAGGGTTGTCATCAGCCATCTGCCATGAAATTAGTGAACATTTGTTATTTCAATGACATTCAGATAAAATAGGGAGATGGAGCACATACAACAAGACTAAAAAGCAGTTACAAAATGGACAAACCAAGATAGCATTGTTTATGTTAATTGCTTGGTTATACAACACTTAAGATTGAAAAGAAATAATTCTTGAGGGCTTGATTGATCCCTCTCACAATCTTCTATTTATAAGAATAAATTGATACACAATATAATCATGATAAATAAGGTAACCCTAGACACAATATAATCATGATAAATAAGGTAACCTTAGACACAATATAATCATGATAAATAGGGTAATCCTAGACACAATATAATCATGATAAATAGGGTAATCCTGGACACAATATAATCATGATAAATAGGGTAACCCTTGACACACTATAATGATGATAAAATAGGATAAATATCCTAACAACAA